GGCGCTTCTTGTGACAGTAGGTCCTCTACGACAACGTCGGGAGGTCGAGACTTACATTGGAAAGACCAGCGAACATCTGCGAAGAGTGCGGACCGACACCAATTTACAACGAAGGAATCTCTCGCGTAGATCCTAGGGATGGTGCTCATCTCCCCCGGAATCATCCCTACCCCCCACACACTTTGCCGTCGGGCCTCACCGCCTAGCAGAACAGAGTAACCTTTACGTGAAGAGGTAGCACCACGAGACAACTCAACACAAGCAAATCATCGGACAAAAGGTCCAATCCTGGGTTGCAGTTGCATTTTCTTATTTTTTTCCAGCTCGCATCACGCGACCATAAACTACCTTGATTTTAGTGACTCTCTTCTGGATAGTCTCTAAATAGTACCTGCTTTAATGCGTCACGGCAAGATTCCAAACATGGACTTACTTATTTGTATAAAGATTTGAAAAAGTTACTTCCTAGAAAGCTGAGTGATGGCTAAAAACTTCCATAGCAAACGAGGCATCCCTCAATTTTCGGACAAGTGTGCCACTACCTCCTGCAAGTACAAGTGGTAGAGCAAAAAGAAGTTTCGGAACCTAGTTCTAAGTATGCCACTGAAGCTCTTTGATTGTCAGTGCTAAAAAGGCTATGCTCAATAATCCAGAAATGCAAATCATGTAACTATTAGAGAGAAAAACCCGAGAACAGAACGAGAAAAGAAGCAACTCTCCGAAAAAAAAGCGCTTGTAACTATGTTTCCATTGGGCTGCTGTCTGATTAATTTTACTTCACCACATTCTGCTCGATTGAAGCTTCAGAGCGAGCAGGAGATCACCCTCACAACTCCAATTGGCGCTTCTAATATCTCCTTGAGCGTGAAGTGGACACGGGCGGCCGTGTCCATTCGATTTGCACTTATCACTACAAGGCATTGCTGCAAGTAAGCTGAAAGAAACCGAAAATGAAACCATTCTAAGGCCGTCTCGCGGGTGAGGAGAAAGGTGGCTAACAAAGCACGGTCATCTTTTCCCATCTTAATGAGAATCTAGAAACATATACCCAAAACGAATTTCTTTGGACTGAATCTATTAAAAGTCAAGATCTTATCTTTAATTACTACCGGCGTAAAGACAACGTCAAAACTCTAACAAAGCAACAATAACAAACCTAAGAAACACTTTACTGATTAAAGGAATTATTGAAGTGACAACCATTCCGAACAGAATAGCTTAGAATCCTGAGAGTCAAAAGAGCCGCAAACAAAGGAGGAAGCCAACATGCTGGTACGCCGAAAATGCAAAACCTGGCTTCAACTCTGAAGAAATTCCGCACCTATATTGTCTCGCTTACGAAAAGAATTAAGATATCACCTCCTGTTCTTGACGGTAGTAGGGGCTAAGAAAGAGGAACCAACAACACCTACATTTTTGTCAAATTTATGAACCATACTAAAAATCGAAGGAGATGCGACGAGACTGAAGTGAAGGCAAATGAAAGAACTTGTTCTTTACAGCGGTTTAGGGAGTTTGGAATACAAAAACCGCCACAACGAATGAGCACTTCCCTAGTAAATTTGTTTTGAACCTTTTCAATGAGAGCAATATCCTTCTTTTTGGCCGAGCAATACATGACTGATCCATTTTAAACCAGGCAACACATAAGCGTAATACAGTTAATAAGATTATTGTACCGTGTTGTTGGAGCGCCTTGATTATATAATGCGAAATATCAGCAATGCGCCAACTGAGGACAATGGAAAGCGCCATTCGTCTCAGTTAAAAACTCCTCCAGCTCAGCTTCACTAAATAGTCGGCCCCGCGTATAGAGCTGTCGGGCCCACTGCAAGATAGCGGGCCAACATCCGAATATCGCTTGTCTGCGTGCAATGTTGATCTGCTGTGCTCTCTCTACTCGGACTTCGTTGCCATCTCCACGACCCACATTATCTCTCATCTGCCTGACTACTTCTTAGACAGCGTAGAGCAAATAGGTTTTTTCCTGCGTTGTTGACGATTTTTCTTCTTTTTCTCTACTTCCAGTCTATTTCACATCCCTACTTCCATATTTGAGTGGCACTATCACAGCAATTTTATCATGGCCGTTACCTTTAACAGAGAAAATAACATGTTTGGTAAGATTTTACTTTTTTAATGATAACCTGTTACTCAGAAGGGCATTGCGGCATCTATGGTGGCAATGTCACACGCATCTTCCGCAAGTACTGATTTACTTAATAAGTGCTTGAGAGTGACTCTATCAGGTATCCCCTTACTTTCGGACATATGGAGCTGCTTTTTTGCTTGTAGTCGTTGGAATCATTATGTGTTGGATGAGGTTGCTCAGAGGACAAGTATGAACATCTTCCAAAGTTGGTTTCTAAAAGTCTTAGTTTCAATTAGCTTGACAAGGGGATAATAGGGTTGAGATGTGCACAGTCTATACAAGCAACATACGGAGGCATCAGATGGTGGTGTGCAGCACAGCAGCGACGACTAGCTTCAAGAGGTGACCTTCACTCAAAGTAGACTCCGCTCTGCAATTTTCGCATTGCATCATTACAGACTTAAGAACGAAACCACCACTTCTAACGCAGACCCCTAGAGCTTCCAGCTGCGTAGACTTGTTTCGGATATCGCAAAGCTGAGACTTCTAATAGATGAAATTGTTCAACTGCGCAGCTACTCGCAACCAACATGTCACGAGCAAAAGCCAGAATACTATACAGATATCCATCCACTTGTGTATATATGGAGGACAGTTATATAGATAGGTGTGGTAAAGATAGCATCTGACCAGGAAGGTCTTTCAGGGCGTGACAAGCTTTTTGAAAACGGTCTTTTGCATGATATAGGGGCAGATGCGGGAACCACAGAACCATGTTTCCTGAACAACATGATTCACGAAGTTATTACGACATTTGACACAGTCATAAGTGAAATGCGGCGCTTACTTTTGTCTCAACCTAACACAGCTGCTTCGCCCACAGTGGGCAGGGGATGCAGCGAAATGAGCTGTGCGAACAGCGAAAAGTTCAGGTTAGAAACCAGAGCAGCCCGAGACGAAAAAAAGTCAGGTGGCCCGCTTGCTTGGTTTGAATTGAGACTATCCCACGTGGGCGAGCGTCCTAGAATTGGTGGTGCTTACAGGAGATATTCAGAACTCGATTAAGAAAAGGATCGCAATCGCAAAGCAGAAGAAAAACATTTTAGATGAGCAGTGCCTAGACAGTTAAAGTCCCTAGGCCAACCCGGCCAAACGAAATGAGGTGTACAGTTCCTTACGCACCTGAGATCTCAAGCTAAAATCTATTACTTTCATTATCTACTGAACTCTTCTCTGAAAGGAGTCAACACATTGACGACAACGCGAGTTTTACCTTTTGGCCGCGTGGGACCGGCGCGATTTTGCAAGCGTGGCCACCCACCTCAAAAACAACGCAAGGTTTTGAAGCCGATACACCACATATTATAAGTTATCTTGAGTTCTTTATACGGATAGCTATACACAGGAATATTGGGCTAACGATGGCTAGCTATGTTACTGAAAGCGGCAAAAGAATAAGTTTGCTAAAGAGCCGATCCCTGACCCCTTTTCCGTGAGCCTCGCCCACTGCCCCTACCGCTCTTCTGCTTCAAAATTCTTTTCAGAGAAGAGTTTAGCAGGTCAGGAAAGCATCTTTCAGCTCAGCGCCCCAAAGCGGGCATGGGCATACACATCTCATTTCAATTGGCCGGGTGAACCAATGACCTTTCCTGGTAAGTGTATCAAGTGCAATGAACTAACCGTAAGCGTGGGTACCCGACAGGAGGCCATCGCGCGGCAAGAAGGCAGAGTCAGCGGACGAGTCGCAGCGCGTACTGTAGTGATTTCGCGTCAAGTTAAATAGAATGTACCATTGTACGTCCTACATCGCACAGCACGCGCTGCGACTCGTCCGCCACCCTGCCCTATCGCCGCGCGACGGGCCTCCTGTCGGGTACCCCCATGAGCGGACGCCCGTCCACAATGCGTGCGTAGCGAGTTGAACTAGTCTCGAACGAATTGATAAGCGCACCACCTCATTGTCCCGTGCGGGTGGCATGAAGGCAATCCGCAGACCAGCCATTCCTTTTATGAGAAACTTTTACGCCCTTTTCACAGGGAAAACACAGAACAGAAAAGAACAATGAACTATATTTAGTAAGAAATACAAAACAAAACTTCCGGGTAAGTGGTCAGAAAAATTTTGGCTAAATCTCATCAATGATCATACTAATGTACAGAGAACCTAAAAACAAGATTGATATCCTCTTCAAGAGTATATTGACACATCTATTAAAACTGCATTGAAAAAGCCTTAAACAGAGAATCATTGACAAGAACAAGGAAAGGAGTGAATGAAAATCACTGCAATTGATTTCTCGTCACCCGAAAGAGCAAATTACCTAAAAGCTCAAATTAGCAAAGCTGAACAGAATAATGCTGGGTTATTATTTCGCATAATTGCTCGTTAGTTTATACCCCTTGGGGAAAGATTGATATTTCCATCTGAACTCAAAAGTACAAGCCTAACCAGGTGTCATCAGCCTTTCTTGGAAAGCAGCCGTAGCGCGATCGACGATAGTCGGGACATGTCTACTATGCGCGAGAGGTCTCATACAGCACCCTCTTATCATAGTCAGCTTATGATGCATAGAACCGTATAGAAGACAAATCAGACAGATTAACGACAGAGTCTACCTCGCTGCGAACACACTCCCAAAAGATTCCACATTCAATTTCTGCCCATATGCTAGCGCAAGAATACCGTTTTTTCTAATCTATATAGAAAAAGATGATACAAATTTACGAGCCGTCATCATATCTAATGTACGTCATACGTACCACAAAAATTCAAAGCAGAAAAACAATTCGCACATAGCTTCTATTAAATATCACAACAAATTCATAGCCAGAGTGTTCAGGTGCCTAGAAACTTGTGGTAAAGTGCAAAGAAAGGAAAAGCGAAAAGAGCTGGCCCGAAAAGCAGCAATTATACAGCCACTGGATGTTGTGCAATTTGTTGCACAGTACTGCTGCAGCGGTAGCAAATGTAGGCTGGCAAGGATTTGGCACTTTCGGCTGTCATACCAATGCAGACGTAATGATACCAACGAGCGCAGCCTGCTTCGCACAAAATCCATCCCACGGTTTCACCTGAAACAGCTTTTTCGTCGGATTTCCTTTGAACGCACACATAACTAGCCTGACAGGAGAAGGGAGAAGGAAAAGTATTGGAGAAAACTCAACTCATTTGCTAGCTCAACATTTTGAACTACAATAAATGTGATACAGTACTTAGAACAAATAATCGCGCACCAGTGGACCTACGATTCCGCTTCTTAGCACTCAGACCTGCGAAAGGATTCCATGAGCATTTTGTTGTCTTCGAAGTAAACTATAATTTAGTTTGAGAAGCGCGGTCATGAGTTAAGGGAGATTTCCTGGCAAACCAAGACCACTGAAATTAAGGAATAGGTAACCTATGAAATCCCCTCCGCTTTTCGTGTGCAATACAAGGCCCATATCGATTCAATTGTTAGACCGCGCGTTAGGCGTAGTGATATATGACCCCGGCTACACCCTAATAAAAAGGTCAATATCACGAGAATACGCATTTGTCGGATGTTAGGGTAAGGATTCCCGGTTGACGCAGGCAGTATAATGCCCACAAACGATACTGCTAAAAACTGAGCACTTTGAGATATTCGCATAAGTGTAGGAGGGTGTCAAACGGATTTCTTATCTTATTGCAGCTATTTTCGAAAACCTAACTATTCTGACTGGCGCACATTAGAGAAACTCACTGTTCACAAAAGAGTTCACTGTAGCAAACATGGATATACGATTTACAACGCGGACTTACCGTACGGTTTAAGACAAGTGTCGGCGGAGCACTGTTCGTCGTCCTGATGGTAAACGACTCGTGACTTCTTACGTTCCTTTTTGGCCGTGTGCTTTCCAGAGTTTCGTTTTCCGCGTTTTAATCGAACGAAAAGGGACGGCAATGGAGATGAACGTGTCGGCCGGCTCCTCATTTCCACCCACGCGCTGTAAAATCAAGTTTCAGGTAAAGCAAACGGCATCAATTTTGATTAGATTCCCTTTGAAAATTCATCGAGCAGTAAAAATTTGGAGCTTAAGCTTTAATTCGTAGAGCAACAACAGTACCTCCTCTGATGCTCTAGGATATCTGAGCAAGTCTTCTGAATGACAGAAACAACTTTGGGCAGAATGTCCATGTCGAGAATTTCGCATGCCAAAACTGATTCCACGGCTGTTTGAGCTCTGAAAAAGCGGCACATAATGCATAGTATTGTAAGTCTCAAATAAAGGAGCCGCTTCAACAGCTGCCTTTTATCAAAGCTGATTTTCTTCTCCATCTACAATGTGTCGTGGAAATGACTGAAAAAAACAGGAGGAAAAGGAAAGAATACTTCTCTTCGAGTTCAATACTCAATGCATCATCGTCACCAATAGTTGAGAGCACAGACATCGCATTCGAAGATAACTCACGTCCTCGGCAAATCAAATCCCGGACAAGTGCAACCTGGTTGAAGCGTGACAGTATTTTATGTTAGAGATTCAATAGAAACCCAGTACCTTACCTCTAATGAATTCTGGGGAGCTAGATTACACGCGGCCTGGACGTCCTCGATGCACGGCCTTCGGCCGCGAAGACATCTTACGCAAAGATACGCACATTCGGGCAGGCGATCTAGGAAGGGGTCCCATTCACAGCATGTGCCTTAAAAATATGGTCAGTCCTGTGCAATTACTGCTTACAACATCACAACTTTCTAGATCAGCTTACCATGGTATTTTGCACGACACAGAATGCAAACTAAAAGATCCGCGTCAGGATGGCCAGCACTTGCGCAAACACAGGTCTCAGCAACAGTTCGCTGCGCATTAACTAGCTGCAGAGAGCCTTGAAAAAAAAATTATGAGCACTCACAGACGAGGCGATCATCAAACCAGAGTTGGACACAACTAACCAATAAGAGCTCGAAACTGCGCTCTCAATGAGCACAGGTGTTGTTTCATCTCTTCTGAACTGCCAAACTCACCCAACTGCAGCCTAAACTCTTTATCATCTTAGTTTCAATTAACTGATTCCAAAAGAGTAACGGAAGGAGAGACATAAGACTGGATGTTGTAAAATGCATCATACCATTGCTCCTCTGGTGCTAAATCATCATTCAAATAACGCGGAAGTGATTGCCCTTCTACCAAAGATGCAAGGTCGCCGCGATCGCGAATTATCTAAAGCGGAGCCAACTCGGATTCATTTCATCTGTCAGTTTCAAATGAACAGCTTCGAATAAGAGAAATGAGCAAGAACTAACCTCAACAAGATTATAATATGATGCCGGTTTTTGGAACAAGTTTACTAGACGTTGAGTGAAGTTGAGCAAACTATCCTTCACATCGAGCAAATTGTCGTACAAGCCAGAGTTGGTAAGAAATCTGAAAATGGAAATTCAAACATGAGTATTACACTGAACGCAAACTATGGATTCTCAGTCCGTACTTCGAGTTTTCACATTCTTTCACAAGATCCATGGTTTCATTCAAGGACACTTCCTTCTGTTGTGCTCGCTGTTGAACAGTATACAGTCGTACCACTTCCTCGCGCATTTTGCCCATCACTGAAATACTGGATTCACCGAAGCAGGATTTTGCTTGCTAGATGAAGTCACGAGCGCTCTCATATATTCTTTTGTCCTGAGGAAGATATCAAATGCCTCTCTATTCGAGCCACGAATTTCCACCGAGCATCAATAACAGTTAGGTGTGGTATTGTGAAGATCTGATTATTGGTTTTGTTGTCTGTGAACGACGAAGAATGTAAGCCACCCGCACGGGAAGTGGGTTGCTGACGGGCTTTTCAGTAATAGAAAGGGCTCGACCAGAAGCATGAGCAGTAGCGGTCCATTTTGAGGCCATAGCCTCCTTTTTGAGTACTAGAAACTTCCTTTTAAATCAAAAGGAGTCAATGTGGACGATCGCTCTCCACTCTGATGAAGTGGTGAAATAGTTATTTCGCAACCGTGTATACTAGAAAGTTAATATTGATAGCGAATCTAAACATATATGATTGTCCATGACAGAGGAGCCTCCACATCATGGAGGCAGTCACCCTACAAAACATGAGCGTTACCCGGAATCTTAAAAGACACGAGTGACGTACATAGGGAACCCAATACGCTCACACCCCGAGCCGAGATTGTCCTAAAGCCTTGCGTAGGAAACCGGAAGGAGCACCACCAAATCCACTCGCAAGTCGTGGGGAAGCTAGTTCTATGTACACCAAAAAATTTCGTCGCCTTAAGCTATCAAGCCAAATCTGATTCAGTATTCTCTTCCAACTAGTTTTCCAGTCTTCTCGTTCTCGCTGGTGAATCCGAGTAACTAGTAGCTTCTCGACTCTGGTAATAATTTTGTGATAGTGTTTATTGTATGTGTTTCGACTATTTGTTTTTGGAGGAACGACAGAAGGAAGCTATGAGCACGAACCTTTGACTCTGCTAGGAGAGCACTTTTGAAGAGAGAATGGAGGCAATTCACTGGTGAAGTAGGACCTCCATTTGGAAACAGTCGAGCTCCATCAGATACCAAACTTGAAAAGTTATATAATTAGCAAACCTGCGAATTCTTTAATTCTCTGGGACTGTCTGACAGAAAGTATACTTCTAGTACAAACTTACCGTAACACTTCATCAGGCTTCCACCGCTTGAGCGACAAAAAATCATCGCTCTCTTCAATGCCCTCAGTTGTAGTCCATTCCAAGATGTGCTTAGCATTATCGTTCCACTCCCGTAGTTCGATTGTCTTCAAAGAATATAGCGCTTTACTCATAAAAAGTCAAGTAAATGACAACAAGCTCACCCGCCAAAGCTGGTCTATCTCGTCTAAACGGACGTCAAAGTCCTCCCCACGTTCAACAAGTGTTCGTAAATCTGTACTCGTAAGGGCTGCGTCATCACTTGCACATTTGCTAATGGCCTCATTCGCCTCATTTCGCCAGGCCTCTATCCTTTTGACAAGATCCTGAAATCAAAGGTTTTGATTTTAAAAAATACAACAGTCAGCAACATGCACCAAACCTCAAGCTCATGAACGAGACTCTGCTGATCACAAGGGAGGCTCTGCAACTCTTCAATAAAGTCATGAATGCCCGCCAAATCTATACGAGTATCCGCCCTTTGTATTCGCGTTTTAACTCTGGAAACACAAATTTCAAACCGCACAAAGTGGATTGATAGCGAAAAAATTACATACACCTCCTCTCAATTTCATTTTATGTTGAGCTTTTCATCAGTATGTACCTTGTTCGAATTTTTCCATTGAGAAGCGTTCGAGCTTTTTCAGCAGCGGCATGACACGTTTTCGTAATGTCTTGAAGTCTGAGCAGGAGGACTTGTGTGCGGGAATCGTTTATGTCGCGCAGTTTCCAAAAGGGTTTCCACGGCGTTCAATGCTGAAATTACTTTTGTATATTAGTAGTAACTGTTTGAAACATTTTATGTGAAGCGAAGTAAGCTAAAAGCAAAACAAAATGTCAAAATACATGGTTTGCTGCGGGAATCGTTCAGTAAATTGTCGACTTGCTCTTTCCAATCAAAATAAAGAGTTGTGCGCTCTTCCAACTTATGGACGATTTCACCGAGTTCTTCCACGGTGTAACGATACCTTAACATATATAAAGACTAAGTCAAGTTCTGACCAAATGAGAAGACTTACTTCAAGATACATTCTGAAGGAGGGCATTTACTACATAGGTGCTCAATATGATCGAGGCACACTGTTTTCCCGTGCGCGCAAGACAAAGCGGAGAGGAACACGGTTGTGTTGCAGTATCTGAAAACGAGTTCCACAAGGTTGCCGGTAGATACAAGCAACTAACCTCCAAATGAATAGATCTAATATGTCAGACCTGCAAACGCGAGCATCATCCGCAATGATCTCGAAAGTCTCTCGCTGCGATAATGACACACCATTTTGTACGGCCCTTGTTCTGTTCTGAGTCTCTCGCTTTGCAATCTTGAAAGCATATCATAGTTAGAGAGCAATTTCCATTCACTACATCCACATTTATCGGCAATAAATATCCAAAGTTCAAAACGAAGGAGAGGTGTCGGAGCGCGGCTTTCGATGCGTACGTGTTTTTGGTGCGTATAAGGTACGAGCGATACAAGAGGAGAAGCGTATCGCGAGGGAACTACTCCAGGAAATGTGAAATGTGATTGTGACGAACGATTGATTCTAGCGCCAACGACTTCAGCACCGCATTGGTACATGTCAATTGTTAATGGCTCACTCAGACTAACTAGTCTATATTTTCTCGGAGGAAGAGCACCTCCTTCGTAGCCCACGACTACGCGATCCGCTCGCGTTTCCACGCCCAATGAGGTGTGTCACTGAAAACATTGATACCTTTTTCGCGCTTCGCGCTCGAAACATTTTTCGCTCCGGAAACTCAAGGTCCACTCATGATCATGATCAGCGGTTGACCTGAGGTACCTGCAGAGAGAAATGTTTCGCGCTCAAAACGCAAATAAGTTGCTTTTTGTCCTAGTGAACCAAATCATCCACGGAGTACGTGTTCCCTCGCGTTACGGGTTTTTCCTAAGAAGGCGCCCAAATTAGCGGCGACTCTGCAGTCGCGAGCTGTTCTTAGGGCTCAGTTGTAGGACAGAGTGTAATTAATTCATTCTTAAGAACAATACTTCCTAGCATCATCATCCAACTGTAATGGCCATAACTCATAGTGGATTCCTAAATTTTCCTCGCTAGACGAAGGCCGATTTCAAGCAACCTAACGTCGTCGTGCGAGAACATCATAACAAAATCGCGAAATTTCCGCATATTCACTTCGATGCATTTCCTGGACGTCCCTTACTTCAGCTGAAAATTAGTAGCAATTGGGAATTCGAGAAAGAGGCGCTTAGATTAGGTCAGACTCGGCGTATTTGTCATCGCGATGTGACGACAAGGCCGGAAGCGTGCGTAGTGCTCCATTCCGCATTGTACATCGCGTGGTGCAGTCCTCTGCCATAGAGTCGATTGCGATCGCGACTTGCGCAAATCGCATTGTCACAAGCTACGGGTCTTGATTGGCGCGCCGCCAGCCAGCGATGCAGCCGCCATCTAGTATCGATCGCGCCAGGTCCATTGCCGCCGGCTCGTGCCACTTTTCAGAGCGATTTGCTGCAATCGCGATGCAATCGCTTTTCGGCTATTGATGTTATTACATCGCGGTGGGGCGAGCGATCGCGTCGCTCGCGGCACTGGTCCATCGCGATGCTAATCTGCTGTATGTGTTCTGACCGACATCTCACGAGAACACTTTAACCCAAATCAAATAGAGTTGCAAAGTTGACGGCTTCCGGCGATAGATTTAACGCCTTCATTGTACCGTTGCAGCAATGGTAGCCGATGGGCATGTGATCTACATAACTCCGCCTGCGTTTGGGTGAGCTTCTGAAAATAATATTTGGAAAACGTAGGCTTCGGTGAAAAAATGCAGAAGAATGAAAAAATATGTGTACGTACCGTCCAATATTTTAACTTCTCGCTATACGAGATCCAGTACGAGCTTGGATTCACTTGCAGTGGTCCATTGGGTGGATATTTTCTTTCTGCATGTTGCTCGCTGGAGCCAATTGCGTTCCGCATGCTCTGATGGGACACTTACTATCAGCTATCTCACTTAACATCAGTTGTAATAACAATGACAGAGTTAGCAAAATGAGCGTTTTTTGAGATTCTTCGCCAGATCAATCTTTAAAAAAATGTGTGGCTACGGCCATTCTTGAAATCCTTACAAAAATGCCTCATAACTGGTTAGAGCATTGTAATAAATGGAAGTGAGGTATGATCACTGTATTGGAGTTCTTCCAAGAAGTGTAGGAAAAAAAGCAAAGGTTGGAGAGTTAAGTTGTGTGAGCGAATGAAGAAATAGAACTTATATCAAAAATCTTCCTACTTCCTCAAACGTGCAGGCGTTATCACCGCCAATTCCATACCAGATTTTGCGTTCTCCCCTGAATAACAGATTTCAGAGGGAAATCGAGCTAGAAATAATTGCTAATTCTGTAGTAAACACCACACCAATGATTGTAATTGATGCTATAAGTCCAGTGGTCCTCTGTATGCCAACAAAACGTACTGAAACACATTCCGACGTACACCCAAGGAACCATCATACCTGAGAAATCATGGCACGACACATTGTATAATAATCGCATTCAAAAGCTAGCTTTGGCACTTACCGGAGATGCCTGTCTCAATGTGTGAGAGGACGGATTCTTTTAGGACTGGAAGATTATTTAGATTCCACGCATGATTCGCATACAACTGCTTCTGTTTTGCATCGATGCCTCGATGGTCATCCCCTTTTCGAGGAAATCCGCTCCCTACCTGAAAGAAGTTTACAAAAAGCCCAGAGATATATAATAAAGATAACGAAAAAATAAGTTCACTGAGCCCTAGCTTACTTTGCTAGTTATAAGATCAGCACCATACTTGACCGCAACCGTTTCTTCAGTGTCAAAAACAATACGCCAGAACTCACGTTCTACCGCGTCATCTGGTACATCCTAAAAAAAGCAAACAATATAGCAAGACAACACCACTGGGTCGATTCACACACTGTATTCTTTCCAAAAGAATAAGGACCCACCTCAGGTTCTTTCACATTGAAGTAGTCAGTTTTGAACTTATTAGCATACTCCGCGAAAGTGAAAAGATTATACTTGACGTGGGCGTCGTAGAAACCGTAGTTAAGACCAATTTTGGAAACTTCTTTGGCAACACAAGTCGGACATCGCCACTCGCCCTAAAATGAGGCATGGTGGTAGGATACGTGGTGTGGGCAAACATTCCAGGAGAAGTTAACAAAATTCACACCTTAGGGACTCCAGCCAATGGTGGATCGCAGCAATGGGTATGAATGCTTTTGTCACAATCTTCGCACAGCAACAGACGATCTTCATCATCGCCACTTCCACAGACACTACAGTAAACACTCTCCATGGGATCAGATTTCTCTGAAAGAAAACATAACATCTGTATTGTTAGAAAGAGCGATAGGGATAGATTCAAACAATTGAAAACGCTTCTCGCGTCATGTTTGCACTGAAGCGTTCAACAACACACGAAGAGAGTATCCATTCACTTTTCCTTGCATCTTAGCTCAGGAAGTAAACTCATCGCTAAAACAAATTTGAATGTGCCAAAAATGAAATTCGATTTGATCTATCTTCAATTTCTCCCTCAAGCTTTGCCCGAAAGTTCCGAGTGAGAATCTGATAACTCCAGTTTTGTTATGCGAAAGTGAAGTACTCTTCATTTCATGAACAGAAACCGCAAAATTAACTTTTAATAATACTAACAGAGGAATATTCATGGAAGCTCTCGCAATTATTGTACAAAATTTTCCTACTTTTCTGTGAGGTGACTTTGCTCCTCTTAGGTTGTGGAAGTCCTGCCATCATTCTTCCTTTCGGCCGCGCAGCTCTTCTTCTTCCCTGCATAGTCGGCTGACAATCCTCTTCACGTTTCGTGTCCGTGTCACTTTGAGGCTCTTCCTCAACAGGTGGTGTGTTCTACAAACATTTTTTGTCACTCGCATATCATCAACTTATGATTAGCATCTAATTTACTCACCTCTAGCACGTTCACAAAAGGTTGCACAAACTTGATATAGTAAGCCTTAAGATTCGAAATCCCATGATTGCTTCGAACATTCACTTTTCGCGAAGCTTGTGTCCACTGTTTTTTGGATGTCACCGTTTCGGCACCACCCAAACTTTTAACTACCTGAAAATGTTCACAAATATATGCACGGATAATTTGTGGGAAAACACACGCAATACGTTTGCTTTGTCATAGCAACGAACTGAAATAACAGTAGTTAAGCGGAGTGTTCAAATGTGTTGGACCACATATCGGAGCATACATCTGCTGAGGTTAGTCATAGATTTCATGATTTCCCTGCGATAGGTTTTCATCCGCAAATCTGCATGGTATACCAGTAGCTCTTGGTGAGAACTATTACGTCTGCTAAGGATGATGGAAAACAGTAGACTTAATTGAAAAGTGCTTTGCTGAAGGGGCTTGCAAATTAGCGTATGCGGTGTCAGTTCAGAGAGATGTGATTTTAAGCTACATACTATATTGCTCAAAAAGAGGCTAATTGGAGAGTCCGGCCAATTGCAAAGAGATTTATAGTGGTGCACACCCTGAGACAAAGAGCTCAAATCTGCAACCGATTTGCCAAAAGAAGTTACAAAACGGGAGAGTGTAACAGATAGTGGCTCGGATTTACGAGGTCGTAGGAAGAGGATTCCCCTCAAGCATGCTACTTGTCTCTCTTTTCAGGAACAATTTATAAGAATTTTAATATCGCTTGTCATCAACACTTGCCTATAACTGTCTGCATGAGGATTTCCCCATTAACTCTGTCCCTACCACCCCACGAGGGCTCACGACTCCCACAGCTTATAAGCGTCAATGTGATATGCGTAATCGTGGGAAATAATTACCTATAGGTCTGTTTCTGCCAAACAAAGCAACTAGCGACATGAGTTCAGAAAAGTGGCCCAATCACTGGCAAATTAAACATGATTGGGAATGGTGGCTTATTCTTTATGAAAGCATTTTTAGGAGGCATTGATGATCGACACGACCTCATCTGGGGCCGGGTGCAGCAAGCCCCGAGGACCCTTCCCCACACCCAACTAGAGCCAGAGGAAATTCGATGAGGGAGCACATGGAGAAATTTGCGGTCCGGATATGCCATTTACACCATCTCAACTAATGATGTGATGCAGTAATCCACATCGGTAAGCATTCTCAGCACAATCATTGAAACGACAACCGGTTGGATCATTCCGATCAAAATTTTTATCACTAGGAATGATAGAAAACTTCCCATATTTCGATAAAAGATTCAGCGCATTTGTTGACAGTGCTCTAGTGCATCAATATTCTTTCCACACCTTTTGAGACTTCATTCATAGCAATGTATTAAATTATCATGACTTCATTATTAGATAAAAGGCCTGCAGATAGAAATCGTTGCACAATCCCCAAAGCCGTAACAACGTCAATGCGGAAAAGCGGAACTGATCCAGTAGAAAGGGACGCTGGCGTTAAAAAAAGCTCAGCAGGCATCAGGTTGCAGAATGTACCGCGGAACAGCAATCACCTTACACACACTCATTTCAATTGTTAGAAAGCCTAATTCATAATGAAAGTCTGCGAGCTGTACAAAGGAACAAAAAATAAAAGATTGAATCACTTAAGTAGAAACTGAACAAAGCAAAAGAGCGAACCTTATAAAGCTTGAAGAGATCAACATTTTTACCGTCCACTACCAAATTTTTTAAAGTCAAAGCCTTGCAAACGCCAGAAGGTATTAATCTTCTCGAGAAATACTGGAAAAGACACGTATAGGTAAAATATCAATACTTGCACGATTAAAATATCGATAATTAGAAGAAATAGTCGCATATTCATTTAGATCACACACTACTAAGGAAATTGATATGGAAACTATGGGACTTAAAAAATAATATCTATAAATGCGTCACAAGACATTGGACAACAGGCTGGGTTGTGAACAAAACTTTCGCCCCAAACGGGACTCGAACCCGCACCCCGTTTTCCGTACAAGTGCGCTATCAATTACACTACCGCGTAATAACTGACCAAAGAAACGAAGGTCAAATATCTGTGAAGTATATATACAAAAAATCTATAGAAATAATACCTATAACGACAATATCTATAGAGATTCGGCGGAATTATGACTTCTTTTACCATTCTCGACAACCCATCGCTGACTCAATTATTTTGGGTTGAACTAACCCGTGCTCAAAGCGGTCGACGGACTAATTCCGTCCTGTGAATTGCCCCAGTTTCATGTTCTGCCTGCGCAACTCTCGCGGTCGAAAAGTCAAGTAGTCCGTAAATCGACTCGCGCTTTAGTTTTAGCTCCAAACACGTAACAATACGGCATCTAAGAAAAGAAAGAAAAAGATTAATAAGAGGTGATGTAATTGGCATACCTGTCGCTCCCTTACTATAGCTTCAACTTCATTGAGTTTCTGGATACGAGGAGTAAACTCGAATGTCTCGCTGTTTATAGCAAAAGGTGGTTTGAAGCTCTGAAAAAAGCAAAATAGTGATTCGGAAAAGGGAGACACGAAAGTGATGAGAAGAAACAAAAAAATCAGTGTCACTCCAGTTTTGGCATGAGGTCTGTGGCCGCGACAATGATCTCATAGTGCATATCCTTTCAAGAAAGGAACCATCCAATATTCATGCGCAAAGTAAAGACGTTTCTCAAAATATCCATTTTAAATTCCCGAGCTTCGAAGGTTCAAGCTATCGTTCTAGATCCGGCTTAACTTGTCTCCACTTATTAATAAAATATATGGAGTTAAAAAGTTAATATACTAAACAGTTGGACAGGCCCGCTTCGCGCTCGCCCATTTACGTGCAGTTGCCGTGAGTTTGTCGCTGCAGCCGTGTCACTGGGTTGTCACTCAAGTGACAGAGTGACTATAATAAACATCTAGATAACTTTTGGTCATCGTAAACCTCACGTTGGGCATGGGAGAAATCTATGTGCATGAGTCACAATGAATATCAGAAAGATGAGTGGATGAGTTCTTATTCGACTTCTACATTAAACGGAAGACTTTTCGTTGCTGTATCACAATAATTACTACTTGTCACTCTGCAGATATCAGAAAAGATTATGGTAAATAAGAAGAAGAAAACGAAGTGCGAAACATATCGTGAGGATGAGGAAAAGAAGATACAGATATGTCGTATATCTTCTAAACGGAGGACGGGGCGCAATTATGTACTATCGCAAATACCATTATCAATTTGAAAAGAAAGCCTAAATGAGTCGTTGGGAAGGAATGTTTACATCTCGCACTCTTACGTCGAAAATCCAAAAAACAAAATACTAGGTTGGAGATCAAGCTTGAGACCGCGTTACTTTGGTTTGGGAGAATCTTTTGCTACGTGGTAGAGGATTCAGAAATTCTCCGTGTTCGGATAATTAGGACAGGAGCGTAACGGAGGGCCGTTTTCAAGACATTATCGCGATAGAAACCTATCCAAGTTATCACATAATTCCGGAGGAAACGAGGATCCACCAGCAACGTCAATCCCCACGACCGTTCATCTGAAATATCGTTCATCCGGCCTACAATCACGCAGGATGCACCCAAACAGAGGAGAATGATAAATGCAAGAAAAGGTTTAGATGAAATTTATACAGTAGAAAGATACTAGAGAACGGTAAAGTTCAATGAATGCAGGAACAGTCAAAGTGACTTGCGCGGACCCACAGAAGTGGCCCTCGGTGCAGCGGAAAGCTCCGCTGTTGGTATGTATTGATCGGGAAAATTCGAGTGGGGTTGTCTGCATGGAGCACTATTGGAGGAGCCCGTAGACGTCGTCTACAAGAGTCTTCGTGATTGATAGTTCCGGGGCACTGTAATATTTTGGGCGTAGGTCCTTAGGGGGGGGGTCGTTGAGATGAGTAGGGTCCCTCAGAGAACTCGGAAGTAGGCTTAGGAGGGAGAGGATGTGTGAGCAACCATTGTTTTTCCTGGTCTTTAATCCCAGTCCTGGGCTATGTCATAGTGTTACTCACTAGCGGTTTTTGAATGACCTGTTTTGAATGTCCTCTTTAAGAACATGGAGGCCTGGAGTTGTACTGACAGTAACGTGTGCAGTACAAGGTGAAGGTCAGTGGTTGTTACGAGTATCCGGCAATCTTTGGGAAACTCTACAGTGAGAATTTGCGGCGTTAAGACCGGCGTAACGATTTCTACCTTATTTTCGGCGCCATTCGCAAGTGGTACGGGCATTCCTTTCAGAGGATAAGGTTGAGGGGGGGGCAAGAACTCCGAGGCAGAATGAAAATGGGCGTTGCGCACCTGGCGTGTCTCCGTCCTATCAAGGTCTGAGTCCCATTTTCTCAACAATAAAAAGAGTATGTTCTACGCGTTTGTAAACATCGATGCCAGTGCAGTGCCTTGTACTTGCTAGCGCAGAATTTTTGGGCATTCGCATTGTCTCGGTTTTGGGTGGTGATGTGCTGTTAGATTCGAGAATTTCGGCGACGGTTTGATTTTAAAGCAACAGTCCCAGCAGGGTTTTTACCTTCGACACTAATGGTGTGGAACGATGCGCTAGCCCTAGTCAAGAACATAAAAAGTGTGACTGAACAAAAAACCATTGGAAAGTCGCTAGAAAGGGAGCTGAACAGCTTCGGAAGTGGGCGTGGTTAACATCTGCAATCCCCATAGTCGATCGGTAACCACGCCCACTTCGAAGCTGTTCAGATCCCTTCCTAGCGGCTGCTCCAATGATGAGGTTTTTGTTCAGTCAACGTTTTATGTTCTTGGCGTATGCTTAACGAGTTCTGTCGGCGTACCATGAGTTCGGTTAAAACCCGGACTGTGACTGTTGGCTTTGACGAGGGAGGTAATTGCGGCGATTAGAATGAAGGTCGAAGAAGAAGAAATTGACCTAGTTGAGGACCCACGGGACCTCCTGAGGGTGCGAACTGACGCGCAATTCACATCGAAAAATTGAACCTCGGCGACCTATCATGCCTCAAAGCTGGGCGGGTCTGGCGATCTCCGCCCACCATCACTCGCCACAGGTCTACCCGCGGCGAGTGATTAGATAAAAGAAGAGAGGTGTAGTGTTAAAGATAGCACAAAGATGAGAGTCGCATCAATGCGCAAATCAACGGGAATTGAGGGGTCTTATTTCTCGGGTTCTGGGCCGTTTCTCATGGTTTTGTCCTTCTTCAGTGTACCACTCGTCATGGCTAAGTCTATTTGAAGTGGATTGCCTTACCAGCGTGAATTGTCATGTTATGGAAGAACGATGCGTTCCATCGATCATATTTTGAGAATATTTGTCAGAAGATGTGAACAGTTAATGCATTCGAGTTTGTAAGGAATATTCATGAAGGCCTATGGGACCAGGTGGGCGGGACGAGAAAGTTTGTGACGGAAATGATGGTGTTCCGAACGCAGAACGTGAGAGGATTCATTTCAAACTTCCGAGTGGAGTGGAATCCGTACCTAGCATTGCATTGCGTGCGCCCGAACATTGCGTCCGAACTGGGGCCATAGGGTGGAGGGGATGATTCCTTGAGACAAAGGAAGGGCAGTGCAACATGCTGCTATCTGTCTTTATGGATGCCATGAGACTTGGGTTAAGGGCTAAATTGAGGGGATAAAATAGGTGTAGAGAAGCGTTCAGTCATAAAGTTAGTAGGTGGGAGTGGTAGTCTGGAATAGAGAAGGAAAGCAAACGAAACCACCGATTACGCCCCGTACAGAGACCTCCCCTATTTCAGCCGCATTCCACCTTGGGATAGAAAAGGGGAGCTTTGGACGAGTTTCATGTGCTTAAGCTCCAGTTGCTCCAGTGCCAACACCACTGGGTTGCAATCGGACCTCTGCCTCAAATGCCCGCGCTTTTCAAGCAGCGCCACGTGGCACAAGCGGCAAAAGGGGCGCGACATCAACGCCTTTCCGCTTGTCTACTACCATCGCGTGAAATAGGGCGAATCTCCAATTCGAATGTGCTTTATAAACCTTCAATAGAGCCTTTGTAAGGATTTATGGGATTCATTTCATCAGATGAAAACAGAAATGAAGAAAGGAAGTCACTGCCCTCATTGTATCGCTGCAGCACACGTTGCGCGATCGTATTGTCTCTGTTTGCTTATGCAGTATGCACCGGCTGCTCTCGCCAGACGTAAAGCCGTTGAAGGTGCGGGGGCATTCGCGGCGTGTTGCAGGAGCGATGAGGACGCTTCACGTGTATTTACGCTGTGATATGAAGGGACTATTATAGCACTTTCATTTATCCTAATGTAGTTTTCCCAAAAAGATCAACGTTAAGTTTGATTTTGCCCGATGGCAGACGTCCAGAACAGAAGTGACGTAACGCGCTTGGGGACGTTAAACAACCAGGCTTACTCGTAGTCCAGGAAGTTAATCCTATAGTTTACGGTCGCAGCGTATTTTTCATAAAGATTTCTTCCGTTGAACGAATCGAGAGAAGCTGGCGCGGGAAGCTACGCGAGACGAACTGGGGCGTAGTGAGTTGTCACGTGGATGCCAAAAGTACTATTTTTATCTAATGCACTCTAGTGTGCAGTCGCAAACAAAGAAAACGAGTGGTTAACATACACAAATAAACAATAAAACCCTTATATTGTAAGTACAATTAGCTTGATTTAGATACGCGATGCAAGAGCCAGAATAAGAACACGTAAAGGGAATGTAGGAAAATATTGGATATTCACACTCTGAGATAGAGATGAGATGCACGCAGGATTCAGGAGCTAAATTGCTACTGTGCGATTAATCAAAGGAGAACACCGTTTCGATGCCAGTGACGTGCCTCCTCCCGGCTTACCAAGGACCCATACGCGAATGCTCGGTCAGCGACATTCTAGTAGTAGGGTAGAGCCGAGGGCTAGCTTGAGCCGTTTAGCCCAGAGAGAGAACGTTAGCGTCGAAGATGCAGCACCGATGAGAGTCGCATCAATGCAGAAATCGAGAAGATGAAGGTCCCATTTCTCGAATTCCGGCCGTTTCTCATGATTTTCCTTCATCCCTGCACCCACTGACCACACCTTAATTTCTAGAAGGCTGACTTTTCATCGTAAACTTCACCTTTAGTACATCTTCTTTTGTAATCACTTGCACAAAGTCACTGGATATCAATGCAAACTACTAAATTTCACGAGTTAGTTGAGACCTTCCAGCGATTGTGATTCTGATTTTAATTCGTATGGCGGCGAGTGGTATTCAATCCCGATTGAAAATTCAAAGGATATCACCAAGGTTATGATGTTTGAGGAATGAAAATTGTGCAGAGTGTCCCAAAACTATGGCGTCTATGCACAGCTATGTTTTTTTTTAAGCTCAAATGGAGAATTCGAGTGAATCTACATATAAGTCAACTCGCGTAATGTACAACAAGATGGAACAGCCAAATTCCGAATGTCCTTCGCTGCAACCAATGCAAGCTCGCAGTCGCTTCTTGGGCTTCGCGCACGTTGCACGCAGGAATTCCTCGTCTATTTCTTCCAGGCTTCCTTCAGTGCTGCTTCCAGTGACTTGGAACTGTGATGACGAACTCGGCAGACCTCATTTTACTCACTGACCTACACCGAGAAGTTAGATGAGTGCAGCTGGTGAAAATGATGGCCATTCCTCGGTGCTAGCAAAGTCGGGCAGCTGAAATCGGCACCACTCTTGGATGAACTTGGCTCTGTAGGCCTGAGCACTTTTCTGCTGGAAACACCTCGGGTTATTTCCACGGTGGGACTCGTGCCGAGCCTTCATTACGTTCACCTCAAGTGTCCGGATTTGCTGATGAACTTACCGAAATCAAAGGAAAACTAACGGCCCTTACCACTGGACGTGGTGTTCCTTTAAACCGAAATTGAGACCGAGTTCGGTGATTTGCAAACAATCTTTTAGCGTGGAGTAGCACTCCTGACATTTCTGCCCGGAATGCAATCGTTCTGGCTATTGCAATCCGCTCAGCTGTGGAAATTTTTCCCTTCAGAAGAAAGGATAGAGGGGTGCGTGTCTTCCTGAAGCAGAGAAGCTTCTGTGAGCTTGTTGATAGTAACAGTCTGCTGCCACTTGTTGTTATCGTAGATGAGATGGCACCTCCATATGATGTAACGACTATGAAGTCCTTCAGCGACCCTCTGCCCGTCGGCGACTTCGACTATTCCAGCTCCTTTGGGACTCGCCAACGGAGCGCTGTGGTTGCGTAGAATGGCCAGTCTTTCTCCGTCTCCCACGCCTACGCATGAAGGACACTGATTCCTAGCAACGTCTAATAATCCTAGCCTTCAAAATATTTGCGTTGTCTTTTGTTGGGGACCTGCCTCGTGCATGCGATCGAATGATCACACTGAAAGACCTTCTTCCATTCTAATGATAGTGGGGGTTTCACTCCGCCAATGAAGGAAACCACAAGAAGACCTATCTGCAGAATTAATCGTTAATGAATGACGTTGAAATAATCGAGCACTTTTGTTGAATAAATTTTTGAATTTCGGCACCCATAATTTTTGGATCCGGAATCGCGGAATCGTGGAACCATTTGTGCTTACTCAATACATATGAAGATCATGTTGCTGGTGTATGCTTTGTCCAAAGACATTAATAGAGTTTTTTGCAGTGCAATTTGCAGTTTGTCCTGGGGCTTTTATCTGCGACAGCAAAACGGTTGCATTGCAAGTCCATATTCTCCGTTCGTTGTGCAATTTTGTTACAGAGGGCAGCTTATAATCACTTCCCCCTGCTTCTTCACTATAAACACTATGACATCGATGGCCACTCATCGTCAGTATAAACTTTGGTGACGGAGAGATCCCGCCCAGCTACCTAAATTTAGCGTTGGGGTACGGTAGTTGGTCAGAGTACGCAATTGCACTGGTTACCAGTGGTGTTTTCAGTGTAGTCAGCTCTTGCTTCCATTTTGAATTTGCTTCACGAGGAATGGGTTTTTCATTTCTATATCATAAAAGGGCTCAAAAATTTTTGGCACTAACAACTGTTACAACCTCAAAATTTCTATTTCTGCCGAGACTCTGTTCATAGGGGTAATTCCATGCCTCGATTACTAAAATGACCTTTATTTCTGGCGATGGCGCCAGTTCGCGTTACTTTGTCACGACGCTTGTTTTCACCAAACAGCGTTAAATTCTGTGGAGGGGTTTTGATGTTCTGTTACAAATGCAACGTTCTTTGTCAGCTTACAAGGAAGGTCTTTCAGGGTGTGCCAAGCTTTTTCAAAACGGTCTTTTGCATGATATAGGGGCACATGCGGGAACCACAGAACCATGGTTAATTTTTCCTGAACGGCCCTCTGAATACCAGAAAAAGGGGGTCACACCTTTTTCACCAGTTTTTCAATCAAAGTCTATTTGTAAGGGTTACTGACGTTCCTAATCATGAATTTGGTACTAATTATTCATGCTAACTCCATTTTGCGCGAATTTGGAAACGTCAACTCGAAATGCAAAAATTTGTCACCACGAGGAATCGAACTAGGGACCCCTTTTCTGGTATTCAGAGGGCCGTTCAGGAAAAATGAACCATGCTTCTGTGGTCCCCATATGTGCCCCAATGTCATGCAAGAAACCATTTTGAAAAAGCTTGGCACACCCTGAACGACCTCCCTTGTTAGCGGCTGCTTAATAGTATGTTTTGTCGTTTTTTCTGAACCCCTATAACACTCAACTGTCCACCACTGGCCGTTTGTTTCAGACTCTTGCGAGTCTTGGGCGCTTCTGGTCAAGATAGGGCAGTACATTCGTGAACTCGGGCTCTGATAGGCGCCATTCGCTTCTCCGTTGTGTCGCGTTCACAGGCCCGTTGTGGCAAGGGAGCGATCAATCGCGGCGCCCCCCCCCCCCCCCCCTCGATCCGATACGTTGACTGAGAGCCTGCGCCCTGCGCTGCCTTGTGACCGCACAACGGGAGCGATGGCCGTGGAAACGCCTAATCGGCCGCGCATTCCGCGCGATGGTCGGCTGCGACTCAAATACTCCCATCTTGACCAAATCGCCTCGGAATCGGCATAAGTCTGAGGCCCGGACGCAGTAGTTCGGTCGGGCACAGCAACGACTGCAAGTGTTCGCCCCACAGCATTGCGGTGTGTATCGATTGCGACACCTGCTGACACTTACGAGCCGGACCGCAAGTGTCGCATAAACCGCGGTTGCAAATGGAAGGCGACGCGGTAAGTGTCGTAGATCAATACGCAGCTACTATTCCACACTACAGTGGGACTTTCGAAATACGATCACGCGCAGTCACGTGTTGTCTGGGTTAGCATTGGGTGACCGCGTCGCCTTCCATTTGCAACCGCGGTTTATGCGACACCTGCGGTCGTTGCTGTCGTCCGACAGCAGCGGTCGTTGCTGTCGTCCGACCGACTATGCGTCCGGCCTTAGGACATCGGCCAGCCACAAACAAGACAGTGTGGCAACCGATTGAGGCGTGTGTTAAGATCACAGGCGTGTGAGGGACTTTCAGGCGTGGTGTCAAAGTTCGCGATCCGCTGTATCGCGGGCGAATTGCAAAATCGCAGGTGCCAATTGAGGCTTTTGGAACCCTAATGTGAAACATCGTGTAGAGATGCATGGCTCATCATTTTCAACCATCACCATCAGCCAAAATGAGGCTCGGAATGAGAGCATCTCGCAGATTGGTCGGCGTTTAAACGGGTGGCACCTGCGATTCTCTAATCAGGCGCGTAGATGGCGCCCGTGTAATGACTGCCAGCCTCACTCATCTTCGGGTCGCTTCTTTGCTCAAAAAGCTAGCCATCGAGATACGCGTGATGTCTGAGTTTCTACTGAAAATAGAAATTCTTGAGTTATTATATTTGATTAGGACCGCATTTCCTTGGCCGAATGTCCAGACTTTGTAGCGATGCAGCGATCTTGGCACCATATTTTGCAGTGAGGGAGCGATCGCTATAATGGAGCGTCCGACGCCGTCGCCTTAACTTATCGGTGGGTGGGCGGTGTAAAATCTTCCGTCCGCTCCTGCCCAATTGTTGCAAAACTCGCTGCATCATAGCAAGTGTTCTGAAAGTGGTTACGGGGCAGCGGTCAACCAAAGTATGCGAGTCCAGACAGAAAAGCACACTGCTGGGACTAAGCCTTTCGAAGGAGGGAAAGAAAGCAGAGATGCTGTAATAGTGTGTATGTGCGAGAGTCCCAGAGAACACACTACAAAACACTGAATCACCAAGCCTTCCGGTTGACCATTGCCCTTAAACGTAGTCTAACATCGGCCATTACAGAGAACTCGGAAACCTGTCGGTATTTTTATCTGCTGCGTTTTATATCGGATTTAGTAGTTATGTCAAGCAACCATCAGGCAAGTTCTTTGATAAATACCTCCGTTATCTTGTTTATTTTTCATATGTCTTCAGAATAAGGACGAAGGCACACGGAAAAAGAAAGAATCCATTGTCGACTTATCTCGTTTTATTGACAAGAAAATACGAGTTAAGTTCCAAGGAGGGCGAGAAGGTAAGCAACTCAGTGATTCTTCACCAGTCTTTCTCGCTCTGATTTCCAGGTGATAAGTGGTTAACCTGTTATAGCTGCTGGCATTCTCAAGGGATATGATGCGTTGTTAAATTTGGTACTGGACAATTGTGTGGAATATCTTCGCGACCCTGAGAATCCAGGAACAGTCGGAGACGATACCAGGTCAGAATATCACAAACTAGGAATAGCTTCGCCGTGAATTTGTGTGGCGTTGTATTGTGAGGCTCTCATACCCAGTGGGGATCGCCATATGGGAGATTCTGCGAAACAGGCTGGGTACGGAAGCAGTGGTTGGCATTTCGTTTAAAACGCTTAATAAGGTGAAGAAGAGACAAATGGTCAATGTGCGTGTGGTCTTTTTCGCGGGCTTTCCGATTCTCCAGTGCAGTGCTCAGTATAATGTTATTTC